TCCCGGGTGGGGGTGATGGTGTTTGGGGGGCTGTGGGTCCCCCCTGTGTCCCGGGTGGGGGTGATGGTGTGTGCTGGGGGCTGTGGGGGCCGTGGGGGACTGTGGGGCAGGTTTTGGGGGGCTGTGGGTCACTGTGGGTCCCCCCAGGCCTGGAACATCACGGTTCGTACCTGTGCCTACACCAACCACACGGTGCTGCCCGAGGCCCTGGAGCGGTGGCCGGTCCATCTCCTGGAGTCGCTGCTGCCCCGGCACCTGCAGCTCATCTACGAGATCAACCAGCGCTTCCTCGACGTGCGTGGGGGGCAACGGGGGGCCGGGGGGGCGAGGGGGTGGGGGCAGTCGGTCTGGGGACACCTGGGCCCTTGGAGGGGAACCTGGGGGCAGGGGGAGCTCGAACCCCTGGGCTCTTGGGGGGCACCTGGGGGACACCTGGGGGGCAGTTGTGGGGCAGCTGAGGGGCAATGGGGAGCAAGGGGGTGCCTCGGTGGCTGAGGTGTTGCTGGGGCAGCAGTGGGGGGCAGTTGGGGGCAGTGGGGCCAGTTGGGGGTCCAGTGTCCCCCCCAACCCCCTGTGCCCCCCTTCGCCCCCCCAGCGTGTCTACGCCTCGTTCCCCGGGGACCACGACCGCCTGCGCCGGATGTCGCTGGTGGAGGAAGGCGCCGTCAAACGCATCAACATGGCCCACCTGTGCATCGTGGGGTCCCACGCCGTCAACGGCGTCGCCGCCATCCACTCCCAGATCCTCAAGGACAGCGTGTAGGGCCCCCCCCGACACCCCAAAATCCCCCACAGCCCCTTGGCTTCCCCCTTGTCCCCTCACAACCCCCGTGTCCGACTGTCCCACCATCGACTCCGTTACCCGTATCCACTCCCAGATGCTGGATAGGATCCCCCAAGGATGCTGGGTCCAGGCCCCCCCAGCCCCCAAATCCCCCTCGGCCCCTCACAGCCCCCCCAGGTCACCCCCAGCCCCCCACATCCCTGTGCCACCCTCCCATCCCCCTGTCCCTCTCGGCCTTTTTCTGTTGTGGTCCCTTGTCCCACCTTCATCCTCCTCCCTGTCCCCATCCCTGGGGGTCCAGGGGGTCCCTGTGACTCTCTGGATCTCCCTGTGGGTCCCTGTGGGTTTCTGTGATTCCCTGGATCCCCCTGGGGGTCCCTGCCATGTCCCCCCACCCCACATGCTGCCCCCACCCACAGGTTCCACGATTTCTACCAGCTGGAGCCCCAGAAGTTCCAGAACAAGACCAACGGGATCACCCCGAGGCGCTGGCTGGTGCTGTGCAACCCTGGCCTGGCCGAGGTCATTGCACAGGTGAGGGCTCACCTGGGCTCCATGGGACCACCTCGGACCGCCTTGGCTCACCTGGGCTCACCTGGGCTCCTCTGGGGGTGCTCCCCTTTCCCAGCGCATCGGGGAGGATTTCATCTCCGACCTGGACCAGCTCCGGCGGCTCCGGGACTTCGTGGACGATGAGAGTTTCATCCGTGACGTGGCCAAAGTCAAGCAGGTAAGGGGGTGCTCTGGGGTCCCGTGGGGGTCCCAGCAGCCCCTCCCCATTCCAGGAGAACAAGGTGAAGTTCCCGCTGTACCTGGACAAGGTGTCGGGGGTGGGGGGGGTGAACCGGCCCTGGGGGGGGCTCTGGAAGGCTGGGGGGGGCTCAGGGGGGTCCCGGCCACCCCCAACCCCCTCAGCCGACCCTCCCTGCAGGAGAACAAGGCGAAGTTCGCGGCCTTCCTGGAGAAGGAGTCGGGGGTGCGGGTGAACCCGGCCTCGCTCTTCGACGTCCAGGTGAAGCGGATCCACGAGTACAAGAGGCAGCTGCTCAACTGCCTCCACATCATCACCCTCTACAACCGTGAGTGGGGACCTCCAAACCCAGCCAGCACTGCCCCCCAAACCCCCCAAACCCCCACGGGACCCCCCACCCAGGGACAGCCCCCGGGACACCCCAGACACCCCAACGGGGACCCCAAATGCCTGCACGTCATCATCCTCTACAAGCATTAGTGGGGACACCTGGGCACCCCCAAATCTCCCTGGGGCCCTCCCACATGGGGACAACCCCTCAGAGCCCCCGGGAGCCCCCCCCAAACCACCCACTGGGACCCAGCCCCTGGCAGCCCCCTGAGACCCCCCCAGCTGCCTCCACAACATCACCCCCTAGAGCCAGGAGTGCCCACCCAAAATGGGGGGGACTCTCCCCAGGGACACTGAGAACCCCCCAGGGGCCCCAGTGTCCACCCCCTTCATGATTTGGGGGCTCTCCCCTGATTTGTGCCCCCCCCATTTTGGGGTCCCCTCCCATTTCAGGGATCAGGAAGGACCCCGGGAAATCCATCGTGCCTCGAACCATCATGATCGGGGGCAAGGTGAGAGGGGAGTCTGGGGGTTGGGGTGGCTTTGGGAGGGGCCTGAGGGGGTTTAGGGGGATTCTGGGGACTCATGAGGGCAGTTGGGGGGTTGGGGGTGCTCAGAGGGGTCCTGTGGGAATTTGAGGGGCTTCAGGGGCGGTTCTCTGGGGGCTTGGGAGGGTCCTGGTGTGTGAGAGGGGTCTCTGGGGGCTTGGGGGTCTCTGGGGGTCCCATCGAGTTTTGGGGTGCCCCTGACCCTCCCGTTCCCACCCCAGGCAGCCCCCGGGTACCACATGGCCAAGATGATCATCCGGTTGGTGACGGCGATCGGGGACATCGTGAACAACGACCCGGCGGTGGGAGATCGGCTGCGGGTGCTGTTCCTGGAGAACTACCGGGTGTCCCTGGCTGAGAAGGGTGGGGAACCCCAAAACCCCCCAAGGAACCCCCAAAACACCCCCTGAACCCCAAAATCACCCCTGAGCCCCCCAACCCCCCCCTCAACACCCAAATCCCCCCTTCAGCGTGGGGGCTGTTACTGGAGAACCCTGGCTGAGAAGGGGGACAGGCACACACCCCAAAAACACCCCTGAGCCCCAAAACCTGCCCCAAACCCACCCTGGGCACCCCAGAACAGACCCGGCCACCCCGGCAGCACCCCGTTACCCCCCTGCTGCGCCCCCGGGCACCCCGCGATGCCCCCCCAGACCCTGGGTGGTGACACCCCCCGACATCCCCCCAACCCCCCCGACCCCAACGCGTGTCCCACCCCGCAGTGATCCCGGCGGCCGACCTGTCGGAGCAGATCTCCACGGCGGGCACCGAGGCCTCGGGCACCGGGAACATGAAGTTCATGCTCAACGGGGCCCTGACCATCGGCACCATGGACGGGGCCAACGTGGAGATGGCGGAGGAGGCGGGCGAGCAGAACCTCTTCATCTTCGGCATGAGGGTGCCCGACGTCGAGGCGCTCGACAGACAGGGGTGGGGGTCCTGGGGGACCGGGGGGACCCCCCACCGCACCCCACGAAACCCCCCTAGCGCCCACAGGACCCACTGAACCCCAGTGTACCACCACCACGGTGACACGGGACCCCCAGCCCCCCGTACCCCTCTCGTACCCCCCGTGTCTCACCTGTGCCCCCCGTGTCTCACCTGTGCCCAGGTACCGCGCCCAGGAGTTCTACGACCGCCTGCCCGAGCTCCGCCAGGCCGTGGACCAGCTCAGCTCCGGCTTCTTCAGCCCCCGCCAGCCCGACCTGTTCCGCGACATCGTCAACATGCTCATGAACCACGACAGGTCCCGCAGGGGCGCTGGGGGGGCCCTGGCGGGGGGGGGCGGGTTGGGCTCCCCTGGGTGGGGGGTCCCCAGAGCACGGAGGACGCGGTTCCGGGGATCTGGGGGAGCTGGAGGTGGGGGTGGGCTCAGATGTCGGACCCCCCGAGACTGGGGGGGGGTCTCACCCCCTGGGCTCCCCCTGACCCCCCCTTTCCCCCCCAGGTTCAAGGTGTTCGCGGATTACGAGGCGTACGTGAAGTGCCAAGAGAAAGTCAGCGCCCTCTACAAGGTGGGGACCCCCCCAAAAGGGACTCCCCCAAAAGGGACTCCGCAAAAGGGACCCCCAAAGTGACACCCCCAAAGGGATCACCCCAAATATATGGGGAGGTCATGGGGGATTCAGGGGGTTCCCAAAATCCTGGAGGGGGGATAGGGGTTTTGGGGAGTCCCTAAACCCTCGGGAGGGGATGGGGGGTACCCAAAACCCCACTGGGAGAAATGGGGGGGCACTGAGGGGCTCGGGGGGTCCCCCAGGTGTCCGTGGGGTTTGTGAGGGGACAGCGGGTGCAGATGAGGGTGGGGGGATCAAAGGGGTCCCCAAAACCCTGGAGGGGGTACAATGAGGTTCCCACATCCCACGGCTTCAGGGGTGTCTGGGAGGGGACTGCGAGCTGCAGGCGGGGGTGGGGGGGGGGCCCCGGGGGGGTCCCGCGGGTGCTTTTGGGGTTCCCGCCCCCCCTGACCCCCCCGGCTCCTCCCCCA